ACATGCGTTTTCAAAAATAAATAAATTTATGCATTAGCTCTTATCTTTGATCTATTCCATATTTTCTACACTTTTAAAAAAAATGAAGACCCTTCATTTCATTTCACTACTAGCGTAGGCATGAGGATAGCGCTACGTCATATATGAGGAAGAAAAGATGCTTTTTTATTTAAAAAGTGTAGAAAATATAGAATAGATCAAAGATAAGAGCTAATGCATAAATTTATTTATTTTTGAAAACGCATGTGTGTAGAAATCGAAAAGAAATATGCTACTGCAAATTAACAGTGCAGTGTGAATAGAATAATCACCCTTTTTATAGAAACTAGAAGGCAATCATGATATGCAAAAATGACTCATAAATCGATTTTAAATTTATTTCAATATGGAAATGGAGTCGTTCTCAAAATTTTACTAAATTGTAAAAAAAATGTTTCTTTTAGTTTTACTTGGCGTCCATACTACGTGGTCATACGTGAATATTCCATAGTTTCAAGCGTGTTCTCTAGCGGAAATTATGTTCTCATGTGTTCACAAATCATTTTTGCGCCTTTCATTCGTGGTCACGACCTAAAAATACGAGGAAAAGTTCCATGAACATTTCACACATGTTCGCATGTGTCAGTTTTTTGAGGAAGCAACGTAACTATCCTCGAAATAATTCAGCATCCTTACTTTAGGCTGTATGTTTCAATGTTCACACCCAACTCTACGGAAGAGTATGAAAAATCTAAGTGCAGAAGAAAATTCACAAATCTATATAAAAATAGCACGTGTGAATGCTGGTGAAACCGTTCCAAACCGGAAAAAGTATCAACATTTAGATAAACGTTTAATTAATCTTGTTTCGAATACTCATCTGAACATTATTGAACAATAACAGCAATAGCACATAATATTATCTTGTAATGAAATTTATCACTATTATCAAAATATTTCACAATATTTTCGAATAAATATCGTTTGAAGCATAAACAAAATGTTGGATAATAACTGTGGTGTGTATTAAATTCTTGAACTCCATAATATTTTTTTCTTGAAAGAATTTCGTACGTAACCGGCTCTTGCGTAGGTGCGTAGTTTTCTGGTGCGCATCTTTCGGAATTCCTGTATTCCATTTACAAATTAACCGTTCTATAGATAGTTCAATGATAGTTTTGATCTAAATTTGTAACTACACTACTGATAAACAAGTCTTTCAATCACACGATTGCTAAGCAGAAATTAGTTTTACAGAGTCCTTCAAATAAGGAATGTTATGGTAGAAAATACTTTTTTGTTGCTTGTCTATTACTTACTTTATACATTTACTTGTATATTAGTTGGTGAAACAAAAGTTGTTGAAAAAGTCAGTTTTAATCTGAAAAACTTTGCCTGACTCTGTTTTTGCCTGTCTTATATTCGATAACGTTGTTTTCTGCTTTTACTAATACAAATACTTACAAGAAATAAAGCTTGAAAAACAGTGATGTCACGACTTTTTCAGCCTCAGTCAAGTCTCAGTCATTCTTTTTTTTGAAAATCATCAGTCTCAGTCAAGTCTCAGTCACGAAGTCATCGGTCACGATCAGATTTTTTTCTGAGTTAGGTGATTTTCTAGACGAAGTGCTCTTTCATCCATTCAGTCTTTCTTTTTTATTCTGATCGTAGTAGATGCAACAGACATCTTTAACAACAAAATGTAACAATGTAGAAATATTTTTTGGGATGTTATTAACATCATAAACAGTGCAGTGAAACATGCTTTCTACATCTTTTGTTACAAAAATGTGAAGAATATCTTAATCGAGAAATTTAAAGTTGCATTTAACAGTGTAAGAGTATTTTTAGTAGAAATTAAACCAGGAGGGTTACATTGTGAAGACATTTTGAGAAACATATAATCTGAATCAGACAGCGTTCTGACTGTGTGTGAGAGATACTACTATGAATATTAACGAAGTCAAAGATATCCACCTTGGAGTGTTTAGCTGGAGCTGCCAGTCGATTGGGAAATCTACTGTTTTTTCTAAAGCCCATCGACTTGTAGTAGAGAGATGTGATCTCTCATGTTTATCGTACATAGATAGTGTAGTGTACATATGCAGACGTATTTCTTTATTCACTTTTTGTCATTATATCTTCTTTTCTTTTTGATAACATCTAGACTTTTCTTTTCATTTCATCTTCATCTGTCTTTCTGCTTACTTTTTTTTTGTTTCTCTCACTTTCTATTTAAAAAAAAATCAGTCATATTTTCAAAAAATCAGTCACGGTATACAAAAACGTCAGTCTCAGTCACGAAGCCATCAGTCTCAGTCAAGTCTCAGTGTCGAAAAAAAACTCATCAGTCGTGACTCACTCAACTCTCAGAAGTGTAGTGAAGTGTTGTGTTTTTCCCCCAATGGGTTAATTAGTTTTAGCTCGGAAAAGCAGTTCAAACCCAGATCGAAGGAGTGTTTCGACACCGAAATATACGTTGTACAACTGATAATAGGTAGTAACAGATCTAGAAAATATTTCTTTAGAAAATTACTCGTTTTGTAAGATTTTTTGAGAATTGATTGAAAAGACATGCTGAGTCAGTTTTAGACGAGAAGGAGCATTAAAAACTTCAAACTTCCGACTGATGCGGCCGCACCCATCGCAAATCTACCACTGCTAACAGACCAAGACATTTCCACTCACAATGGATTTATAATGTTGAGGCAAAATCCAGCTATTTTTCAGGATAGCTAACAAAACTAATACATCTAATACTAGTTGAAGAAATCGACTAACAAACGTTAGCACGGTTTTCTGTTTTATTCCGAGATGATGGAGACATTGGCTGTTTAAAGTATCCTTTTCGCCAATACGTCTTCTATCAGCTTTAAAAATATAAAAAATTCGGTTTCTGAAAGGTTTTTCAGTATTTTTCCAATAAGTTGAAAAGTAAAAGTTGAAAATAATTAAGAAATCACAATAGAGAACAAAAATACGGGAGATAACATCGTAGTTTTGCTTCTGTATCCTAAAAGAAAACGTGAAAATCAAGCCGAAAATATTATAGAATATGTAGTATCTGTATACTTTATCGAAAGAGTAAAATGAAACGATCAAAAAAGAGGTATGTCATGGTCAAGAGACTAATGTTGAAGTTAGTCAAAATTCTAGATATTTCAACATTTTCACCTAGTGAAGAATATTTTTACTCAAAATAAACACCATAATCGTGATTAAACTAAGCCGATTTATTTATCTTACATCGATATACGCGACTTTTCTATGCTAAGTTTGGATACAACCACTTAACAATATAACTTTTTTCTAATTGAAAGATAGACTTTTAATTTAGTTTCTCTACGATATTCGAAATCTTTATACTTAATTTAGTGTGTTCAAGTATTTTTTGTTCAAAGCTGAGACAAAAAGTTGTTTTGATTTTTCTCTAGCGAGCTCTCAAACGCATGTTTTTTTTTTTTTTTTTTGTGTAGAAATCCAAATCCTGTCAGGTGAATGAAAAACGGAAGAAGCATTTTCTTTCAGGATGTTTTAGGTGAGACAAAACCAATATTCAATATATCAGTGGATGCATGTTTACATGACATTTCGTATATCTTCATATACAATTTAAGCTTTCACTACAAAAATACTAGCCTTTTTGTCATTTTCTTATTTTCAGTAATGTAAAACCGATCGAAAGTTCTGTTAATTAAACCTACTCATGTATTATCTATCAAAAAACGGATGTTATTTTCCTGTCAAATTAACTATATGCCTTTTCGTTTGCTTTCCTGCTCTTTATTCATCCATATTCTCTATAATCAGACTCAACAAAATCAAGTCAGAGTTCGTGCAATTTACAATTATGTTTATGAACATCGTTAACAATCAGAGATAGAAGAAGAAAAAAAACATATTTCACTTATATTTTGAGAAAAAGAAATTGTTAAAAAATTACACATATGATGTTTGCAAACACTATTGCTTTTCATCAGTCATAAAGACGAACAAGAACGGTTAACTAATTCCAAACGAATATTTTTCTATATTCTTTTATTGTTTATCAGTAAAAAAAATGAAAAACATTACAAACATAACCACATTCACAACATGTATAATAAGTAAGTTCAATTTGATATATTAACTTTAAAATATTGTTGTTTGTTTTGGAACTTAAATAAGATATACTGATGAATTTGGTTCACCAAAGAAAAGGCAAGATGTGTAAACTTCTAAAAATACTTGCAAAATAAATTCTAAAAACGTTATAACTATTCTTATAAATGAAAAAAGATTTCGATATCTTCTCGATTCTTTTTTCTCACTCTCACTATTTTAGATCAGAATTCAATTTTATTTTTATACAATATCTTTTTTGACCAATTTTATTTTTTTAGTTTTTCTCTGGTGTTCAATTCATCAATGTTTATCTAATGGTGATGTAAGTAACTATGATCAACAAAAACCGTTATTACAGCATTCATCAGAACATGATTTAAATAATAACAAAATGATTGATAATGACGATGAATTTGTATTTCATTCATCTCAGTCAATTGGTAGAAAGTCTTTTTTGTTACCATCAGATGATCAATCTTCATCGTTACCATTCGATTTCTATCGTCGAGCATCATTGAGATATCATCCAATATTTAAAAAAGCAAGTTTAAGACCAATAATACCACACAATGCAAGATATCCACCGGGAAAACGGGCGAGTTTAAGACCAATTATATCACCATTTTGACAATACGAAATAAGTCAAGAGTAAAACATAGTTAAACTGAGAAGTAAATTGAGAATAAATATTCATTTTAGCATTAATAAACACAAACACAACGGACGGTCTATAAACACAAAGAGAATATTTTTAGAACGTTGTTTCTTCTTTTTCAATTACAGTATACGTTCAGCATTAATGTATCTGTTTTTTCTGTTAAGTAAAATGAAGATTGACTTTGTTAGTTCTTTGGAAAACGCTCAAATACAGTTTTTTAATACAGTTTAATCCTCCATACAGTTCAGGCCAAAATACATATTTGATGATCATATAATAGTACTTCGCCACCAGATATGGCTTAGATCTCCTAATCGAACGTTGGTTAATTTTTCGATTCTACATATAATTTAGAATTATCATTACTAACTTTTAAATGAGATATTGCTTAGAAACAGTAAAAATGAAAGTATAAAAAGACGATATATGTTGCCGAAATCTAAACTAGTTTGCCTTATGATATATTAAATCGCTTCAAATGCCATTGGATAAATTAAATAATTTTGATGAGGATAATACGAAGCTGATATCAGACATAACTCGAAGTGGTTTATATTTCAATAAATATTAATAAAAACTACAACAATAACAAGCTAAAATTGACGGCAAGGGTAGTAGAAATAACGGTTCTAGGAGTCTTTTAGTATTTAAGAGAGACTTCGCCAGTCGATCGAGTATCTTGCCAAAGACCGGTAACGAGTGAAAAATTGACATATACTTTTTATTCCATATTTTTTTGATTCTACTATCAAAACTGGGGTTATGAAAAATATGAAAAAACTTTCTGACTTATTTTGGCTGGGTTATAGAATTTACAAAATGAACACCATCGGCGATTTGCGAAAAGTAGCCATCTTTGATATTTTGACTATAATTCCGCCATTTTTTGTCCGTTTTGTTCGAGCAACATCCCATTCGAAAGCTTGCTAAAAGTAAACAAAATCGCATAGTTCCTAATTTTTCTGAAGTAGGAAGTGACTGTTTAAAAATCACATCAACTGGAGAACTGGGATTTTGAAGGGTCAAAATTTTCGAGAAAATGCCACTTTCAGTTCTCCAAACAGAATTTCGCTAACAATTCGAAGATCACATACGATAGAGAATTCAATTTTTCACAAACTGAGCGCAAAAACTTTATTTTAAAAGTAGTGCAAAAGTTGCAAAACTTGAAAACAAGATGACAGACCAACCGCGACTTTTTGAGATTTTAATAATCAAAACTTCACTTAAGAACAAAAATAAGATGATATTTGGAATCAGTGTCAAAAACTGCATTGGATGATGTGCCTCTGAAAGCTTTTAGAGAAATGAAAAATTTTGTCAAAATTTGCTCGGAAGCTAAACACAAAAAATGGCGGAATTATAGTCAAAATATCAAAGATGGCTACTTTTCGCAAATCGCCGATGGTGTTCATTTTGTAA